GTATGTAGTAAGTAGTAAATATTAAATTAGTAGTGTCGTAGTCGTAGTAGTCGTAGGTAGTCGTAGTAGTCCGTAGTAGGTCGTAGTTGTCGTAGTAGTCGTAGTAGTCGTAGTAGTAGTAGTAGTAAGTAGTTAGTCGTAGTAAGTAGTAAGTAGTAGTAGTCGTCGTAAGTAGTAGTAGTGGTAGTAGTAGTAGTAGTAGTAGTAGTAGTAGTAGTAGTAGTAGGAGTAGTAGTAGTAGTAGCAGTAGTAGTAGTACTCGTAGTAGTAGTAGTAGTAGTAGTAGTAGTAGTAGTAGTAGTAGTAGTAGTAGTAGTAGTAGTAGTAGTAGTAGTAGTCGTAGTAGTAGTAGTAGTAAGTAGTAGTCGTAGTAGTAGTAGTAGTAGTAGTAGTAGTAGTAGTAGTAGTAGTAGTAGTAGTAGTAGTCGTAGTAGTAGTAGTAGTAGTAGTAGTAGTAGTAGTAGTAGTAGTAGTAGTAGTAGTAGTCGTAGTAGTCGTAGTAGTAGTAGTAGTAGTAGTAGTAGTAGTAGTAGTAGTAGTAGTAGTAGTAGTAGTAGTAGTAGTAGTAGCCCAGCCCTCGCTCAGGGCGGCCAATAGGGGGGTGTCCAAGAGGGAGGGGCGCAAATCATGGCCGGCGGCATGCGCGCGGCCCAGGGGCGGGGGGGGGCCGGGGACGTACTGAAACAAGAAGAGGCGCCATGAAATCTGGGGAGATACCATCCCCCCCGTAGGGCTCCCCTGGGTCCCCTGGGGCGAGGCCTCCCGTGTGGGGGGAGGGGGCTGCGGGCCAGGCCAGCTGCTCGGGAGGGACAATAGAGAGGGCAGAAAATCCACCCCGGGGGTAATATGGGGGCAATAGAAGGCAAGACGGGCGCCGCTTTCTCGACAAACCACTGTGGGCAGGTCGCGCTGGTGGGTCGCGGGTGGGTCGCAAATGGGTCGCGGGTGGGTTGCGGGTGGGTCGCGGATCGGCCGCGGGTGGGTCGCGGGTGGGTCGCGGGTGGGGGTCGCGGGTGCAGATGGCAGACCATTCGCCCCGAGGATCACCACCCCGACCCGCGAAGCCGTTCCGCAAGCGCACCCCCCGAAGGCATCGAGGAGGGCCAGGCTGCTCGGCACACGCCCAGGGCCGCCTGGGAAGCGCCAAAAGTGGTCCGGTCCGGCTGGATTTGTTTCCTCCCCTGCGGCAAGCCAGCACCTCTGGCGCGAGCCACGGGGGGGGGATGGACGCGCAGGCTCACCGAGAGGCAGAGCTCGCCTCCGCAGAGTACCCCTGGCTCCTCGAGGCTCGCGCCGCAGAACCCGAGCGACCTTCCCTGACCAGCAGGGGGCTCGACACCCACAGCCCACCAAGAGGCCGCAGCCACAGGAACAACAGGCGAGATAAAACCGTATCTTCAGGAGGAGATGGCGACCCCCCCAGCGACCTTCAGGACAGAAAGAGCAGCACCAGCGTCGCGCGGAGCCACAGACAACTCTCCTAGGGGTGCCGCATCACTGTCTGACGGCGTCCCACTCGAGACGCCTTGGGAGACACCGCAGACCTTCTAGCAAGCGGCGGCCCGCTGGTGATGGTGCCGCTTCTCCTGCCTCCGACATCGGATTGGCACGCCCGCCACGGGGACGAGAAAGGCTGCCCCAACCCGACGGCGACCGCGTTGGGAGGGCGACGTGCCTGGGATGGGCAAAAACGCCCGCGGCGATGGTCGACAGCGAGTCTGGTTCCGAGTGGGCGGGAACGGTTGCCAGCCTCCGCCCTCATAGTCTTCGCAGCGTGGCTCCCCAGAGGTCTGGACCCCTCCTCGATGACCGCATCCTCTTACCGAATCGTTTCCGAACGGTCCCGGGGCGAGCCCCCCCCGGACGCCAAGCACTGCGCAAGGGCTTCCGTCGTGACGTGTTTCACGGCGCGAGGATGTCAGGGAGTACGACAATAGAGGTCTCCTAGATGGGGTCGGAGTTGATGGGGTCGGACGATCGCGCCGCATCGCCGATGTATCGGCGATGCATCGGCGATGTATTATCGGCGATGCATCGCCGACGTCGGCGATGCATCGGCGACGCCGACGTGAAGCAAATTGGGCTCCACATCGAGCCGCATCGGCGATGCCTCGGCGATGTGGCGCGATCTTCCGACACCATCTACGCGGACCCCATCTAGGAGGCCTAGAAACAAACGCCTCCTCCCTCCCGTCGGCACTGCTTCACGGAGGCGGAGTCTGGCAAACGCTGACAGGGATTAGGGATCCGTGGATCTGGCGCGTGGGCGCCAGATCCGCGGAAAGGGCAGGTACATCCCCAGGTAAGCATGTGGCCAGACCCGCCTCGCTTTGTGACGACGGCGACGGCGACGACGACGACGACGACGGACGGCAACGGACGACGATGCCGATGACGGCGACGACGACGACGTCGACGATGACGACAACGACGACGACGACGCACGACGCACGATGCACGGCGCACGACGCACGACGCACGACGCACGACGCACGACGACGGCGACGCCGACGCCGACGCCGACGACGGCGCCGACGCCGACGCCGTTGACGATGACGACGACGACGACGACGACGACGACGACGACGACGACGACGACGACGACGGCCGCGGCGGCGGCGGCGGCGGCGGCGACGGCGACTCTGACAGCGACACTCACGACGACGACGACGACGACAACGACAGTACCAACGACGCTGACGACGAGGACGACGCCGACGCCGACGACGGAGACGACGACGACGCTACCGACAACAACGACGACGACGATAATGACGCCGACGACGACGACGTGGACGACGCCGACGACGATAACGACGACGACGAAGACAACTAATACGACGACGACGAGCAGAGTAGAGTAGGCGTAGCGTACTATAGGAGTAGAGAGAGTAAAGCCGAGCAACATAGACTCGGAGACGATAGATACAGTAGAGTGTGGTAGAGTAGAGTAGAGTAGGGAGGTGTAGATCAGTCTAAAGTCGGGACGGAGTCGAGTAGAGAAGATTGATGGGCAGAGTAGAACATAAGTGTAGTAGAGCAGGGCAGAGCCGTATAAGGCAGACTAGGAGTAAAGCAGGAGTACAGTAGAGCAGGAGCACAGTAGAGCAGAGTACGTTGGGGCACAGTATGGTAGAACAGGGTAGAGTAGAGTAGGGCGGAGTAGAGTAGAGCAGAGGGGAGTAGAGTAGAGGAGTAGAGTGCAAGAGAGTAAGAACATATGTGAGGGTAAGGTAGGGTAGAGTAGAGTAGGATAGAGTCGAGAGGGGCAAAGAGTCGACTAGAGAAGAGTAGTTGGGTGAAGTCGGGCAACAATATATTAGAACAGGGCTGAGTAAAGAAGAGTAGGAGTAGAGTGGAGTGGAGCAACGTCGAGAATAGTAGAGTATATTGGTGTACGGTATGGTAGATTCGACCAGGGTGGACTACAGCATGGCAGAGTAGACTAGAGTAGAGGAACGCCGAGCAGAGTTGACTAGGGAAGACTAGCGTAGAGCATAGTAGGGCCCTAGTAGAGTACTAAGAAACCTAGATCAAGCCCTAGTAGCATTCTCTCAGAGTTGGCGCCTGGAAGAGAGCACTGGCGACAGGCGACGCCGCTGCCACCACTGACCTCGTCGTCGCCGTCGCCGTCGCCGTCGCCGTCGCCGTCGCCGTCGTCGTGTCACCGTTGTTGTCGTCGTCGTCGTCGGCGTCGTCCACGTCGCGCGTCGCCAGCAGCGTCGTGGTCGTCGTCGGCCTCGGCGTTGTCGTCGTAATTGTCGCCGGCGTTGTCGTCGTGAGTCGTCGTCGTCGTCGTCGTCGTCGTCGTCGTCGTCGCCGTCGTCGTCGTCGTCGTCGTCGTCGTCGTCGTCGTCGTCGTCGTCGTCGTCGTCGTCGTCGTCGTCGTCGTCGTCGTCGTCGTCGTCGTCGTCGTCGTCGTCGTCGTCGTCGTCGTCGTCGTCGTCGTCGTCGTCGTCGTCGTCGTCGTCTGGTCGTCGTTGTCGTTGGCGCCACCGTCGTCGCCGTCGCTGTCGCCGTCGTCATCGTCGGCGTCGTCGTCGTCTGTGTCGGCGCCTGCGCCGGCGTCGGCATCGCCATCGCCGCCGTGTGTCATGCGCCGTGCGTCGTGCGTCGTGCGTCGTCGTCGTCGTCGCCGGCGTTGTCGTCGTCGTCGGCGTTGGCGTCGTTGGCGTCGTCGTCGGCGTCGTTGACGTCGTCGTCGGGGGGGAGGGGGGGGTGTTGTGGACACCCGAGTGATTTCCCTGGACAAAAGGGGGGGGAGGGGGGAGAGGGAGGGGAGGGTCGGTCCGGACACCCCCCACTAATTCTCCGGGGGGTGTCCGGACCCCTTCTAATTTTCACATGGAAGAGGGGGTTCAAACCCCCCCTGCCAGCAGCGGCAAAAGGCACCCTTCCCAATGAGATAGTCGAACAGGGCAGGGCTGTTTAGCAAACGCCCAGGGCCGTTGATCAAATGCCAACCATGGGGGTCGGGATACTCCTTCCTCCCCTGAGACTCTGGGGGCCCAGACCGTCTGGTGACCTCGCAATCGCCAGCGACCTCACAGCCGCGCGACGGGTCACCTCATGGTCTTGGGACCTCCGAGGCCCCAGCCGCCAGGCGGCCCCAGCATCGTGTCGACAAGTCGAGCCGGGTCGACCCGGACATCGAGTCGGCAGAAGCTGGCAGAAGTCGGCAGAAGCCGAGGACGCCCAATACATCCTCCAAACCCGCCGATTCTCAGAGATTTCGAGTTATCCCGATCCGATTTTGTCCCGATCTTCGCGTCGTTTTAAACGTCCTCGCAGAACGGCCCGAGTCCCTGCTGACCGTGCGGTGACCCATCACCCCCACCGGCCCGGCACGCGGCGCGGCCACCACGACGTCCGGGGGCCCCCGTGGAAAAGGCCCCCTCCCCCACCGCCGGGGGCGCCACGCCATCCGCAACGGGCCGTCGTCGTCGCCGTCGTCGTCGTCGCCGTCGTCGTGCGTCGTCGTCGTCGTCGCGCAGGGCGGCCTGCTCCGCGTCCGCTGCCCGCTCCTCCGGCGGGCCTTGGAATCGGGGCGCCCCCCGCCCTCCCAGGAGGTGTGCCCTCGGGCACCCCCCGCCCTCGCCCTCGGGCGCGCACGGCGACGGCGAGCCCGTGGCCTGCAGGCGGCAGGGCCTCCGAAGAGGCCGACACATCGGCTCGCGCAGCCACAGGGGCAGCACGCGCCGCCGGCCGCCCCGCCGCTCACTCCGAGACCTCCGAGGCTCGACCCGCCCGAGGCCGCCGTCGGGGGCCAGTCTTCTACGACGGCCCCGCTTGTGGGGAAACCACGTGGTGCAGATACCGCTGCTCCCGGTGGACCTCTCCCAGGGTGCGCCCTGGCCAGAACTTCGAGGCGAACCCAGCGGTGGCGACAAAGGCGCCTCCCAGGAGGCCCCCCAACAGGGCAGAAGCGAGGGAGGGGCAGAGGTATGGGTACCTTCTCTTCCTCTGAGCTTCTGCCCCCCCCCCTCCCCCCCCGGGGATGGACGTGCAGAGAGGCCAGGGCGGGGGGGGGCCAGGGCCGAGGGTGACGCGGGGAAGGGTCGGCCTGCTCGGGGCGCGGGCCGCCGCTGGGCCGGCCGGTCGATGCACGAGCCGCTGCCCTTCCCTCAAAATCTGGTGAGGGGCCGGGCTCGCCCAGGTGAGCCCTCGCTCGAGCGGGGGCCCCCGACACAGTACGCCAGCAGCCGTAGTGGAATGGAACCTCGGGGCCTCCCTCCCTCCCTCCTCCCTCCCTCCCTCCCTCCTCCCTCCTCCTGCAAGCATCGGTCATGTGATTGAGGAAAATGCTCATATCGGACTCCATTGTCTTGCCACCTCAAGACCAGGTTCCAGTGCCAAGTGCTGCATGTACCAATCTTCCTGATGGTATGCTGGACTGCTCTGGTAAGTCAGTGAGACGTAGTAGTCCGCTTGGTGTCCTTCGGCCACAAGCGGCCGAATGAGATGGTGCAACGTTGAATTCAAACTATACCGAACGAAAGATCCTGCAACAACTATGGCCACGCGCTTCCCGCTCTTGCCCGCCGTGCTTGTGGCGGTCGTTTCGCGCCAGCTGGCATCGTCCTCGGCAGGCGATGCGTCCAACAGACTCAGACCTTGGACACGCATGGAAATGAGAAAGCACATGAAATGGCACAGCTTCAGGGTCATGTGGACGGAGAACGGTGCACAGAAGAAACGCTCGAGAGACCGCGGCTTAGGTCAAAATGGCTTGAACCAAAATGGCTGCGGAAGTATGTCGTCTTCTGTTGTCATGCTCTGCTCTGGATGTTCTCTTTGTTGACAGCTCGGCTCGCTCTGCCCTGCTGTCGTGTTCTGATGTGCTATGTGATGCTGTGTCATGATATGATATGTTCTGCCAAACTGTGCTATGGTCTGCTCGGCCATGGTATGCTATGCTGTGATGTGTCGTCGTTTGCTCTGACCTGCTCTGCTCTGGGATGCTCCATGGTGCTCTGTTTTGCTGCATGCTGTCATGGCATTGCTATGTTAGGTTCTGTCAGGTTATAGCATGAATATTCTGGTCTGGCATGGTATGTTGTGTCGTGTTGCGGTAAGCCATGTGTATCGTCGCTGTGCTCTGCTGTCATAGTATATGCTATGTGATGCAAAAGGGTGCCATGCTGTGTGCTCGTTTATATATACATAGGTACCGTATATTATAGTGTGGTATGTCGTCTTCTGTTATGTCATGTTATGTTATGGTATGGTATGTGATGTTATGTTTGTTGACGGCTCGGCTCTGTATAGTATCGCCTGATATGTTCTACTAGTATGTGTCGCTTTGCTCTGCTGTCGTGATATGGCATTTTATGTAATGGTACGTCATGCTATGATATGTTATGTCAAAGTGTGGTTTGGTATGATCGGCTATGATATGGTATGCTGTGCTATGTCGTAATGTGCTATGTCATTATACGCTCTCGTATGTTATGTGTTGTTATGGTATGTATGGTGTTGCCATGGCATGTATATTAGATGTTCGGTCATGCTGTCATACATGTACAATATATGCTCGATCATGCTCTGCGATGCTCGTGATCTCTTATGGCCGGGTGCGTTATGTCAGATTATGTTATGTCGTGTTCGTCGTCGCTATACTCTGCTGTCGTGTTATGATATGGTATCCGATGCTGCGTCATGGTATGATATGTTATGACGAGGTGTGTTATGCTATGTTCGGTTATGTTATGCTGTGATGTAGTATTCTGTCGTGCTCGTCGAGGGCGCGAGGCGGGATCATCGGGACAACTTGGGGTCTGGCGGCCGCGGTATGCAGGGTGGGGTTGGTTCGGCGCGAGGCCAGACAGCCGGGATGCTCGGGACGCTCGGGACCACTTGCGGTCTGGCGGCCGCGGCATGCAGGGTGGGGTTGGCTGGGCGCGAGGCGGGACACCCGGGATACCCGGGATGCTCGGGACCACTTGCGGTCTGGCGGCCGCGGTATGCAGGGTGGGGTTGGCTGGGCGCGAGGCGGGACACCCGGGATACTCGGGGTGCTCGGGACCACTTGCGGTCTGGCGGCCGCGGTATGCAGGGTGGGGTTGGCTGGGCGCGAGGCGGGACACCCACGATACTCAGGACACTCGGGACAACTTCGCGTCTGGCGGCCGCGGTATGCAGGATGGAGTTGGCCAGGGAGGCCTGTTCTTGAAATCGAACAAACCAACCCTGTAGGGTGGGGCAAAAGCACGCGAGGAGGGCTCCTGAGAAGTCCCGCCGCCTTCTGAGAAGGCCTTCTCCTTCTCACTTCCCCTCCTCGCTCGCTGCCGAAGCACGGCGCCGGAGGGTCGGGGACGCACTGACCTGGGTCAGTCCAAACCCCGGTCAGTCGGGCTTTGCAGGATCCTGCAAGATCCTGCAGGATCCAACAAGATCATGCACGCTGACCCCGGTCAATGCACCCCTGGCTCTGCGAGATCCTGTAGGATAAGGCGCTCTGGCTAACCCCCGTTTGCATGGACCGCCGTCCCTCGAGCCCGAGTGTCCAGGTGTGCGTTTGCCGGGCGTGGCAAGCCAAAAAGATACGGCAGGTTCATGTGGTGACAGACCTGGCGCCGATCTCTGCCACCGCGTGGATCGCTCAACCTGGAAGAATATCGCTGGCCTTTCGACCAACAAATCGTTACGCCTTGGCAGATTATGTGCCACTGACGACGTTCAACCTTTAGAGGCCTGCTAGATGGGGTCCGAGTGGATGGGGTCAGAGGATCGCGCCGCATCGCCAATACATCGGCAATGCATCGACGATACATCGGCGACGCCGGAGACGCATCGGCGACGCCAGCGTGGACAGAATCGGGCTCCACATCGAGCCACATCCCCGATGCATCGGCGATGCGGCGCGATCTACTACTCCGCCCCCCGTGGGAGGCATAGAACTTGGAGGTCCAAGGGCCAAATCCCAACACGCTCAGCCAGCGCGCCTGATCCGTCAATAACAGTCCTTACGACACCCAGTCGCCTCAAGTTCGGACCTCAGGTTTGCTCTTACCAGCGATTGGGCTGCTCAGGTGTGCTCGTACGCTACGAGCATCATCTCCTCCTCCTCCTCCGTCGCCCCAGAAACACAGATCGCGTTCGCTGCCCCTCAGCGAGCTGAAACACAGAGCCTCGAACTCCCGCGGCGGGATCGCCACCGCGTCGACGCGGCGCGAGCATGCCGTACACCGCTCCCGGGCCCGGGATCGGCCTGGCCAGGTCCCCTCTGTAGGGTTACGCGGCCGGCCCCCTTCGACGAGAACAGGCACACACGGCGCCAGTGGGACGCAACTCTGAAGGGGCCCCAGGACCCACACAAGAATACACACAAATAAAAAGATTCTCCATATTTTCCCCTATTTTCCGAGTTTTTGTCTTCCCCCCCACTTCCCATATGTTCCCATATTTTCAGGGGGATCGACGATTAATTGTGTCTGTGTGTGTGTGTTGTTTTTCCCTCCCGAAACTCAGCCGCGTCTCTCCAGGTAAACGCGCGTTGAGAGCAGCGAGAGCCCGTGGCCTGATGCACTGAGGCACGCCTGGGAATCACGTTCTGCTAGAGAAGGCATCTGCAGCCGGGATCAACGGTGAGAGAGAGAGAGAGAGAGAAAGAGACAGCATCATGGTTCCTGCCATGCTCCTGGTTACTCAAAGACGAATTGTGTCCAGGACCTCTCGTAATGACATTTTTTCTAAAACGCAGAGGATCAGAAATACGATTAGCAGGGTGGATAACACGGGCTCCTGAGGCTCGGCTCACGATGCATCGCGGTGCCCAGACCTACCTCGTGTAGCCCGCTCAAGAATAGCTCTGCTGCTCCCCGTCTGTAGAATAACCGTGGGGTGGGAAAGTCCAGTTCTGCCCGGTCTGGAAGGTATCCGACAGATCAGTCGTCTGGAAGACGATGAGGGAGGTGCACGTGACCACAGCCATGAGGCCATCGGCGAGCGCGGTGGACGAATCCTGGAAGGCCACGCCAGTCGTCAGGCTCGACTGCGCCTCGACGTCCTGGTTCCGCTGCGTCAGCGAGCCCCACCTCTCGAACACGCCCACCTGGTTGCCAACGTAAACGTCGCCGTCGCGATCGATAACCGGTGCGGACCAGCTGCCTGGACTGCATGTGGCACGGCCGCCGACGGCACGGCGGATGTCGCCACCCTCCTTGTCGCCGGCACACATGCTGCTCCACAGCGTCGGGCCCTCCTTGTTCCACCGGACGCCGCCGGTGTGCGCATCCATGCCCCAGATCCTAGACGGGGAGTTGCGGAAGCAGTTGAAGCCCATGGTGACCACCAGGCGGGTGTGATTGGTGGGGCTGTTGAGCATGCCAGAGGTGGCGCTGGCCGGCGGATGAGGCGTAGTTCTGGACCAGCGTTGCCTACCAGAAGTTGCGTTGTAGGCTCTGATAAAGCCTTGTTTGAAAGGCGCGTTTCCGCAGAGCGGAAGGATGCCAGGCGCCGTGTAAGGATTGCAACCTGAGCCAGTGTAGGGCAACATGCCAAGGGCCACAACAACGTTGTGGCCAGAGTCGTACACCGCGGCCGCCTCCGTGTACGTCCCGAGTTCTCCACCAGCTGGCGCCCATGTCTCGGTGCCAGTCGTGAGGCTCAAGGAATACAGCCTGCCCTCCTGGTCATTGAAAAACACGTTGCCGTCTGGCCCCCAGACTGGGTTCATATTCCACACGGGCGACTGGGGCACGTAATTCCAGACCTCGGCGCCAGTCACAACATTCAGGCCCCGCACCACCGTGTTTCCTGGTGTGAGGACATTGGTCTGGTTACGATACCTGTAGCAATATCGATCAGTGCAGCGGTTAGTTGCGACCACTACGATTCCATCCTTTGAAGCCAAAGACCCCTTGACGCCGGCGATTGTAGCCGTGCCCTGGATTGCCCACTGCTCGAGTCCGTTCACGAGGTCGATCGCGAACACGTAGCCATTCGTCGTGCTCCCGATCAGGAGGGGGGTGCATGCTGATACCGTTGCGGGCTCCACGCGCAGGAAGTGATTATTGATGGCGTCAAACTGTACTGCGCTCTTGCGCCCAGTGCCCGTCCACAGAATTATGGCCTTGTCGTACTTGCCATCCTCGTCCGCGACGACGCTGGAGATCAGCCCCTGGTCGCCAGCCGAATAGAGCTCCCTGCCGTCTGCCCTGTAGCTCGAGCCAGCCTTCACCTTGACGAGGTCGCCGACCTTGAGGCAAGCCAAGAGGTAACAATACCGCTACTCCCCGTACTTACCTCTCCCGCGGTGCCTTCTAACTAGAACTCCGAGGCGCATCCAGCGGTGGCGACGGGGGCCTCCCAGGAGGCCCAAAAATGTGAAAACGATGGAAGGGTAACGGTGCGGATACGTTTTTTACGCCCCTTGAGATCCATCAGTTTAGCAATCTGGTCCTTGAGCGTCTCCATGGCGACTCGGGAGGCGAGCATCACTGAACTGATGGATTCCGGTGTCTTGGCATACCGAAATTCATCAGTTCAGTGATCCTCGCCTCCCCAGTCGCCATGGAGACGCTCAGGGGCCAGATCGCTGAGCTGAAGGATCTCAGGGGCATATTTTCCCTCCTCTGCACCTTGAAGTCCTTGAACCGTTGCCTGATGCCGGAGCCGGCGCCCTGGGCCCAATCCGGCCTCAACATGTTCTCCTCCTCTTCGGTGATGTCGTCCATCACAGAGGCCCCCATGCGTCCTGCGGGGGCGCAGCCAGTGGACAGGGTGGGTGCTGCTGCGAGCTGACCTCGGGGGGCGTAACTCCAAGTCAAATTACCCGAAACGTCGAACTTCCGAATTGCGTCGTCAGAGCCGAGGTATATGTTCATACTGTCGTCGATGAGGGGGCCGCCCACCGGGATGGTGCCGTAGAGGTTGCTCGGGTGGTGCCAACCCCAAGAGACGGACTCCGTAAGATCCTTCGCACCAGAATAGAGCTGCGCCCCCTCGCGGTTGACAGAGTCGGGCCAGAAGAACTTGCCGTCCGATCTCGTCTTCTTGCTGATGGCGTTGTGCTTGTACTTCGTGACGCCCACCCTGTTCATCGTACCCAAGGCAGTCCATTCCACCATACCATAATACGTAACGCGGGACATTGCTTCAAGCTTTGCGCTCAGGGCAATCCCCTCGGCCGTATCATTAGCCGTAAAGCGGGACGCGATACCTCTACTCCCATTTGACTGATCATCCAACTGTCCACTGGCCCTGTCGTCAAAATAGACGCTCGATGTATCATCAAACTTCTCGTTCACATTGGCGTACCGCTGAACGCCGATAGCAGGCACCATCAACTGCAGCATGAACAGGAGGTGATAACAGGCAAGAGTCATATCTGTTGGCCCCCTTTTGGGGCGGCGCACGGCGTAACAATAGAATCAAGGGCCCTGACCGATCTGGGTTGTCTCGGGATTCCCATAGGGACGACAATCCCTAAAGCCCAACGATTTCTTCACGAGGGAGCCTCGCAACAGAGTCCCTGGATGGCCCCGCCATGGCCCAACAGTGCTCCGTCTGAATGAGGGAAGGCAGCGGAAGATGGCGCAGCCCTTTGCAGTGGCCCACGGGAAGGCTGTCAAGAAAAGTGTACTGGTTCGATACACGAATGCAAGAGGGGTCTCAGTCCTCAATCCGCTTAAGCGTGAAGGGTCTGCAGAATGGCAGGATACGCGCGCGCGACAAACGACAGACGGCAAGGACGCACAGCGCACCGCTCGACCCCATCTGAGGGGGAACGTTCTAAGGGGGAACCTGCTCGGGGGGAAGCATCGAGCTGGTATCGGCGACACGTCGCCGATAGGTCGGCGATGGGCCCAGATAGAAAACAGCACGTTCCTGGGCGGGGTGAGGGTAGGGCTAGCGGGCCCCCGCCGGCCAAAAATAGGCGATGGGGATCGATGCATCCCACCCTGAGCCTACCTTGGCTGCTCATTCTGGGGACCTTCCTGGAGCCACTCGCTCCACTCGTGCGTCGAAGCTGCGTCGAACGTCCGTCGATTCGAGCCGATTTTGAGTCGAACCTGAGTCGAACCTGAGTCGAACTTGAGTCGAACTTAAGCCGAACTTGAGTCGAACTGGAGTCGAACAGATCCAGAAGGTGTGCCCCAGGAAGGTCCCCAAAACGAGCATCGAACTTCTCGCTGCACCCTGGCTTTCGGGTCATAGCTCGGCTCTCCAGCGGCCGTTCGGGACGATCCAGGCACCCCCTGGGACGCTCGCTCATCAGCGAGGCCCAGCCGCGGAAGGCATCCGGACGCTGGAGCACCACGGCCGCCCGGCGGAAACCTTAGAAAACATCGAAAACGTCACGCCTCGAATCCGATCGTGCCCCATGTATCCTCCGAGTAGGGCACCGACTGCAGCACCGACGTACTCCCAAACCGATTCTCGGCCGGATCCGCGCACAGAAGCGAAAACCGCCCGGCAGACGTGCTGCGTACTTGCTCGCAGGCTCTGACTACCTACCAGACGACCCCAACCCAACCCGAAGACCCGAATTGGGGTTGGGGGGGTAAGGGTTCCACATGTGTTTTTTCGATGTTTCCCGACCCCCCCCCACTGGAAATCGAGGGTAAATCTGAGCCTTCGGGTTGGGTTGGGGTGGTTTGGTGGGTGGTGAGGCTCGACGAGAGAATCCGTTTGGGGGCACATCAAGTCGGCAACCGATCCCCGACTCGAGCCGCCACGGAGCCCAGGGACGGCTCCCTCGGCTCCGGCCGGGCGCGCCGCTGGCTCCCCCGGCCGTGCCGGCGCGGACGTCCAGCGCCCGAGAACCTCGCAGGATCTCTCCCGAGGGGTCTGTTTTCCACCACCACCACCACCAGTTGGAGGGGGGCAGGACGGGGAGGAGGAGGAGGAGGACCCCCTCCCCCTCCAACTTATGGTGGCGGTGGCGGGAGACAAGCCCATCATCTCCGTCGCAACCGACACTCGCCTCTCCGAGGCACTCCCGAAGGACGCCTACCTGTACGCAGGCGCGCGCGCGCGCAGCGACGGCGCGGACGCGCACCCGCGCCCGACGGCACGCGACAAGCCAGCATGCCGAGGAGCGCGCCTTGAGCCCTCAGACTGAGGAGGCAACTACTGGGAGGCCTTCGTGAGAAGCATGACCGGCTGTTATCCGCGATTGGGGGGCCATGAGGCCAGGTCAGTCAAGATCAAACGGGATTGAGCGGATTTGGGCCAGACTGGGTCGGTGTTCGGCGAAGAATCTACCAGCGCCAGTGCTGAAGTTGACCTCCCAGGAGTCGCACCCTGACAGTCGTGGGCGTCCAAGCGGGGGGAGTCCTTGAGAAGGAGTCTCAAATCATGGCCCGAGGCACGTGCGCGGACCAGCGGAAGACCAGGGAACGCTTTGAAATAAGCAGAGGGGCCACTAAATCTGAGGGTATCCTGGCCCCCGTCATGGTCCACCCTCCCCATTGGCGGCACACCCGAAGCGGTAGGGGCAGGGGTAGGGGTGAAAGCTTCTGAGAAGGAGGCTGCTTCTTAGAGCGCGCTGGCCCTACATCTGCAAGCAAGACCCGCGCCTTCTCAGACGCAGGGGTGCCTCTAACAAGCCTTCCCCCACCCCCTGCCCCCCTCTGCGCGTGGCCGACCCCAGACTGAGGTCGGGCATCCTCGCCCCCGGACCATTCTTGGACTACCTCTGAATATGCTCCGCCTGCAGAGGGACAGGCCCGAGTTGCGCAACCCTAGACAACCGCGACCTCAAGCGATAGCCGCTGGCCAGCGGCGCAGGTCGCTGCGGGCGGGGCCGGCCCGGCCCGCAGGCGGCCCTCTCGGCCCGCGCCCGCGCGGGCGCCTCCGGCCGCGGCGCGGCGCGGCGCGGGCCTGCCGCTCGACCGGGCGATCGGATCGACGCTAGGCTCCCCCGCGCTGCTCCGCGCCCACGCCCTCGCCGTCGGTCATCGCCGCCCGCCGCGCGCCGCCTCCCCGGCGAGGAGCGCGCGCGGGGACCCCTCCCCGCCGGGCCCTGCCGCGCCCTCGCTCTGCTCCCTCCCTCCGTCCTCCTCTTGTTGGCGAGGGAGGCTCCTCCCTCCTCCCTCCCTCCTCCCTCCTCCTCCCCCCCTCCCCCCCAACGTGCACCACCGCCACCTCCTCCCCCCCTCCGTGGCCATTTTGGCTCAAGGCTCCAGCCCCGGTGGAGACATTTCCCACTCGGGGGTCAGAGCCCACGCGCGTCGCCCCGGACCGTCCATTGTTCTGGGAAGACCGCGTGCCGCGAGATGCTTCCGGCCGGCGCCGCGATGGCTGCCCGCCGAGGCCGGACCTCCGTGCCCCCGTGCGCAGGCTCGGCGACATGCGGCCCGAGTCGGCCGCCGTCCTCGCATGGGGCAACGTGGCCGCGCTTGCTGCTGCTGCTCGTCGGCTTCCTGCTCGACCTGCCCCACCGGGCGCCTGGCCTGACGCCCAGGGTATTCTCGTGCTCCGTGGGCTCGGTGCCGGCTGCGTGGTGGTGGATGCCCGCCGCGCTGCCGCCTCCAGCCGCCACCGCGCCGATGTGGTGGCCGGAGCTGCCGTCGGGGCCGCCTCCGCCTCCGCCCCCTGATGCTGCTCAGGCCTCGTGTGTTCTCGCTGCAGTTCCGGATCCCGCTCTACGCCCTGCTGCTCCGGATGGTGCTCTGGAGGGTGTCCTGGGTCGTGCTCGCCGACTCGTTGGAGCTCTCGCTCCGGAGGGCGCTCTTGCCGCAGGAGATGACGGGCTCCCCGACGATGCTGCAGATGCCATCAAGGACCAGCCTGAATTTGCTGATGACTCCGTGGACGAGTCTCATCGCGACTCTGACAGCACGGTCGACTCCGCAGAGTTTGCGTATGCGCGGTCGCCAGACGCGCGGGTTACCGATCGTGCTCCTGGTGATGTTCATGCTCAGGATCAAGCGCTACGCCCCGCTGCTCTGGATAGTGCTCCGGACTATGTTGCGGATCGTGTTCGCTGCCTCGCTGGAGCTCTGGATCGTGCTCTGGCTGGGGCGCATGCCGAAGGCGATGTCGGGCTCCCTGGCGATGCTGCAGACACCGCAGAGGATCGGCCAGAAGCCGCTGATGCCTCTGCTATTCCTCCTGAAGCTGCTCCGCCTACGGCTGGTCTGCCTCGGCCGTCGGCGATGCAGAGGGTGCAGATCGTGAAGCCTGCCACAGACATCCAGGCGGCGGACGGAGCGGTCCGCCTCCTTACGCAGCAGATGTCCAGGATAGGGACCGTGCTGTACTGGAGGGGGAAGGCGGCCCGACACTCCACGATGGCGCATGACTACCAGCTCCGGGCGTGCGAGCTGCGGCGCCTGGTGGATGAGGCCGTAGGGCGACGGGCCGCTCTGGACCCGCCTCGTAGGGCTCTGCAGGACCCTAGAGGCTCCTCCGGTGCCCCTTCTGGTATGCTCGGACCAGCCTCCGACGATTGCGTGTAGATAGTCGTGTTGCTGTGCATCTCTATGTATGCTGCGCGGGCGCGAAGATGCCTCAACTTTCACTGATGCTCTGTGTATTGTGTACCGTATCGCGCCAGCGCGTTCCGGAAAGGTTCTGCTGGAACGCGCTGGTGACACGTCTGCCCCGTTCTCTCAGATGGAGTCGATCGTCCCGCAGGCTTGTCTGAGCTGGACGGGTAGGAGGGAGGATCGGGGGGGGGGATCGGGATGGAGGCGTTTCTCCGCGCGGCCCGTGCACTCTTGCGAGCATTGCTCGACTCGATGAGGGCCGGCGAGCGCGAGCGAAGAGCGAGCAGGGCCCAGGTCTGCGTCCCAGCCTTCCCCTTCGCTCGTCTGCATCATCTTGTCCTCCCTCTCTCCCTCGCTCCCACCTCCCGAACGTCCAATTTCTGGCCGTGCCGTGGCGGTCGCTCCTCGTGCGAATCGAGCCGATGCCGCCCAAGGTTTGATGCTGGATGTGGGGCAGGAGTGTTTCAGGATCGTTGGGTGAAAAGTTGACTTCGATCGTTCCCTAGGCAGGCCCTGCCACCCGTGCCGACGAGTGCCGTCTGCACCGTCGCACGGTCACGAGCAGGAGGTTTTTCGGTTGCGTCCCAGCGTTCTTTTTGTCCATGCCAATGTCGCCACTTTAGCTTTGCCGTCCAGCTGCCAGTAATAACTGGCGAGGGGGGGTGAGTGATGAGATTTGGGGAAGGTCTGGATTCCTTGCTTCGGTTCGACGCGTTCCGTCAGCTCTGTCGCGGGGGTCCCATCGTACTGCACTGTACTTGTATAGTTGGTGCCCGTGCAGAACTTTTTAGTCAGACTAAATGTCCTGCTAGTCGCAGCGCCGCTCTATGCTGACAGGCTTTCTGCTTCATCAGCCGCGCAATCCAAAAATCCTCCTCCTCCCTCCACCCCCCTCGCTCTCCCCCCCCATTCATCCTCACCCCTGCTCCCTCCTCTCTACCCTGCTTCCTTCCTCCCTCCTTTTATTATCATCCTCTCCTCCTTCCTCTCTCCTTCACTTCCATCCTGCGTCCTGCGTCCTGCGTCCTGCGTCCTGCGTCCCCCTCCTCCTCCTCCTCCTCCTCCTCCTCCTCCTCCTCCTCCTCCTCTTCCTCCTCCTTTCGTCCTTCCGCCTCTGGGCGGTTGCCTGCAATGCGCAGGCGGACGCCGCTACCGCGCCGCCAGAGGGCGGCCTCAGAACAGGAGTTCGCAGACCACGAACTCGGCGCCCTCCAACGCAGCAGGGCACTCCAGGCCCGAGAAAAGCCAGCCCAATGCCAAGTGCCTCCAGATCTGGTGTAAAAAAACCCATACAATACCAGCGCCAAGAAAGGCAGCCGACACCGATGCCAGCACATGCTCACCGTTGGCAAAATCCAAACTGCAGAGCCTGTATATGTAGCGCAGCAAGGACCCATGACAGCTGTCACAAAAAACAAACACGAAATGGACCAGCACGGCATACGCGCCATCCACCGCAGCAGCGAAAGGTGCGCATCATGGCGAGAAAGAAGTGGCCACACACACACACACACACACCAAAGATGGGTACCGAGAGCACGCCGCCAAGAGCCAGCCAGAACAACAAGGGCTCCTAAGTTCGCGCTTCGCGCTGCGCGAAGCGCGAATAACTTCGCGCCCTCGCGCCGCCCCCCCAAAGGGAGAAAAGGAGGACGAGGAGGAGGGGGAGGAGGAAGGAGGACCGCGAAGCGCGAAGCGCGAATAACTTCGCGCCCTCGAGGGAGCCCTTGGAACAACGACGACGCAGCCCTCCACGTAGTAGATGATACGATTCGCCCACGGATGGGGTGTTTCCTCTTTGCGCTCGGACGGCAGGTCGTGGAGCCGCGTACGGAATGCCATCGAGTGCGTCTTGGCGAAGCGCAGCACGCTCTTGATCTGGTTGCGGCGAGTCTCACGGTCGCGAGCCGCTCCTGGACACGGCCCCCGCAAAATTAAGACGTTTCGGGTGACGTCACCCGATGTCCGTGCACATTCAGTACATACCACCGCCAGACCACACCACTCTGTAGGATGACCCAGCTCGGCAAAGTAGTCATTAGTGTAGATCGTGGCCTTGCCCGCCACGTCAACTGCCTGGTGCTTAATCTGACCCGCCTGACCAAGCACCTCGTCCGCGAAGTTGAGAGCAACCTCCACTGCCTCCCCACGTTTAGGCCCATAGGTCGAGTCTTTGGCCGTGCCGAAAAAGACGTCGGCCTGTAAGGCTTGGAACGCCGTCGGATTGCATACCGTGCGCGGGCCCCACGCCAAATTGTTGAAATGCGTGTTGGTGCGAGCCTGCAAACCACACCCGCGACACTTCCATTCACCGTACACGTCAGACCACCACATGCGATGGTGAACGAATTGCAACCGGGGCTCCGGCTTTTCGCGCCGAGGCTGTGGAACATGGTCTCCCAACACCTTGAGCTGAAACAAACGACTCAACGTAAAGGCCAAAAAAACGAGCACGCAATTTGGCCTGAGCGAACGACATCTTACAAAAGTTGATGTAGCCGTCGGCGTAACTGATGCTCCGAGCCCCTTCTTTGGCAAAGTAGTCGGCCCACGCGTTGCCAAACACCCGGTCAAAACGGGCCGTGTGGGTTACATCGCATGCGACCTCCACATGGTCGCAATGAAACGGGCACCAATGAAGCGCATCTCTGCCGCTGTGCTCTTGCAGCCCACGGATCTGCCTCCATATGCTGGCGTGCCGTGCACCACACGTGTCGTCGCGTGATGACCAGCGCCGGCACTCGGCCACCAAGCGCGGCCCCGCGTGCTTCAGCGTCCTCCTCCTCCTCCTCCTTCTCCTCCTCCTCCTGTTCCTCCTCCTCCTCCTCCTCCTCCTCCTCCTCCTCCTCCTC